AAAATAATAAATAAAAATGGAAATCGATATACTAAATGAATTGCTATCAGAATCAGTTGCTAAACTTTTTAATCCAAGAGCTGTATATAATTTTAAAAAACCCAATCCAGTTTATGATAATTACTAAAAGAACTCAAATAACACATCTTCATCATCTATATCTTCTATGCAATCTGATCAACCAAAATTTGAGCAACCATAATAAAAATTATCCAATCCTCCAACAATTGAATAATGGGTGAGTGTAATGGGCCCATAAAAATTACAGGAATCATTAAATAAGTAAGATGCTCTATTTATAAAGATCAAATATAGATTTAAATAAGTTAACAAAAAGAGATCTAGAAATGATGTCTATGGATTAACTCTAGAATGAAAAAAAAAGAGTAAAAAATGAACTCAAATTTTATGATGCTAATTTTTAATCTATTTTCAATAGATTTCCATTGAGAAATGAAAAAGAACCAATGAGACCATTATATATATATTATAAAAAGTTGAAGTAACAAATAGATAAAATTACTCAAAACCCAGGAATTCAGATACCTGCTTATAAATAATCAACCAATAACACTTAGGGAGACATCTAAAAAAGAATAGAAGATTTAAAGAAAACAAGAGCAGAATTAAGAGAAAAACTAAATAACTTTTAGAATGAATTCACAACTACGCACAATAGAAGAATTAGATTTCATAAGGATATTGCTCCAGTTGAAAAAGAATATAAACTTTACAAAGAAATTAAAAATGAAATCTAAAAGTTGGAGAATATCTTATTAAAGAAATGAATAAGATTTTATATTTAACATATGTATACATGGATATGTAATAAATTAACATAATTTAATTTTTCTTATTTAATTCAAGATTTTCTATTTATTTGGCTGTTGATTTTAATTTATTCTGCTTATTTCCCTATTTTAAACTATATATAATATTCTTGTAACATAAAATTTAAACTTCAGTCAATAACTACTACATCAATCAACAGAATTAGAAATTGACATTTAAATTAAAATGCAAATTTGATAGCTTTCATCCTTCTTTATAATTCCTGAAATGTATATTTTCCTTGATATAATTTAACTGAGTTATAACTTAAAGAAGCCGAATCATTTTAACACTTTCTAAAATTGCACCTACTTTAAACAAAATGAGATTAATATGTTAAAGAATATATTTTACATATATATATATAATTATCAAATAATAAAATTAATTTCATACTGTCTTACAAATTCAACTGAATTTTTATATTCTATAAATATTTAAGAAAGATAATTATGATTAGCCGTTAACTAATATTTCTTTCCCCTAAAAGCCCATCCTTTAACTTGATTGAAAAATTTTTAAAATAGATCTATAAATTCAATGAAGTAAAAAATTAAATTGAAAAGTAATCTCAGTATTTTGAAGTTATTCATATATATTGCAACTAACTATTAACTGTTAAACTAAGAGGAATATTAGTTCAATTCCTTTTACATGGAAAAAACTTTATTAAGTTGAATTAAATTAAATTAAATTTTTAATATATATCTCAACTTGTTCATTTTTGAAAGATTTCGGACGAACGACTAAATGTCGTCTATTCAACAATAGTATTAAATCGTTGATTCAATTTGTAAAATTGGAAGCACAGATCTCTTCTGTAAGGGTATTCTCTATAGCATAGAGATTACTCCAAGGCACAATTATATATGTAGCTCTCAATGGATAAATAGTCTTAATACAACACAGGGTCATGTCTCTCGACATGATCAAAAGACCATTAACATCCACACTCGCTACATTTCTTCCAGCTATGTTCATATCTATCAAGGAACTGACTGTGGCAAATCTCC